TTCAATCTTGATCTCACTAATGTGGTTAAGGTTTCCGAGCTTTTCTATACTTTTATCCTGGCATAGTACACTCATGTGGTACCCAGGAAACATTCAACTGTGGACATTTGTACAAAGGCAGAACGCCCAGCAGAATGGATGTACTCAACATCCCTCACATGGGGGTGCTGAGCTTACCACTTGCCATGTGGTTAGGGTGAACCTCGTAGAACATTGAAGCATTCCTCTCTACCCACTTCCAAGAAGGGATTTATGGTTCCTCGGATAAACACAGACAGCTGGTACCTGGTCATAGCCTACACCTGGAAGCCATCCTCACCAGCCAAAACTCTCCTAAAGCATCACCTCCAAAAAAGATGTCTTTCGGCAGGCTAATATGGTCTTGAGAAAATAAGGCTTCAGAGGGAGGCCTGCCCTGGGGGGAGCACTTAAATGAGGGGGCAGGTAGAGCCCAGAGGAGAGCAGCCCCACCTTCCTAACCATCACTTCTGCAGCTCAAGCTAACACAATGGCGAAGAGAAAGGGAAGCCCAAGGCCAAGGTGATGAAACTCGGCATGGAGGAAGTTCCATCCTCTTGAGTGCACACAGGAGGCAGATGGAGGGACCAAGCCCTTTATGTCCGGACTTAGTCTGACCCTCCTGAGAAGCTGGGAAAATCCTCTCCCATTACACAGCTCACCTACAGCCCCATGCCCTTTCTCCTTTGCACCTCTGGGTAACTTGTAGAGGGCAATATACTCAATGGGTCTTAAACAATCCCGAAACTAAAGGATATCTGATCTAAGAGGCTGTAATTCTGTTCTGAGGAACAAGGCCTAGTGGCTTCCAACTCCTCTCTCTAACCTCTCCCCCAAAAGGAAAGTGCCGATGGAGGTTTGTGTAAGAGCCCTGAAGGATATCACCTCAAGCAAGTACACTCGAGGCCAAGCTTCCAGTCCAAGGAGAACCTTTAAAGGAACTAAGGTCAAGTAACTTCCTGTCTCTATTTTGCCTCCTAGAAGGTTCTGTTTGAAAATGCCACACAAGAATATGCTCACCTGCATAATAACACACTCAAAGCAAACAAACCTCTCTGGTAGCCTGCCTGCCTGCCTTCTTCTCAGACTGCTTGCCTGAGACAGGCATGCTGGATTGCTGCCTTGCTTTCCCCCTGGGTCTTGATTCAACGTTACCATATACTACTATTCTAGCCACCCATGTTGCATTAGAGGCCGGTCTCTTGAAATTGTCTTGCTTGCCACCCCAAAGCCAGCATAATTTAAAAAACACAATTTGGTGTCATCATACCCCCCTTTCAAAGTCCCTGCATAACCCCCTTCACTCTCGGGATGGTCTAAAAAAAGCCTTCCTGTTTTGCTGATTGTCTAGGCCGTGTCTACCTCCCTCTGACTCAGACCTCCAGCACTCTTCTCCCCTTGGGTCAACTGGTTTATCGTCAGCTCTTCAGTGGGCAGCCCTTGTCCCAGTCTGAGACAGAAGCCTTACTTGCTTTCCGCTGCATCCCTACCCTGTCTGAGCCAATCATAGGGGTCCCCTGGGTAAGCCCAGCATGCCCAAGCCTAGCACAGACTAGCAGACAACCAAGCACTTGCAGTTAATAAATGAAGCTATATCTTCCATCCTGCCTCCAGAGTGGAAGTAAATCACAGGTCACTTCTCTGGTAGGAAACAAGCATGCAGAAGAGCACCAAGACCTACTATCTCCCAGCTAATTTACAGGAACGCAGGCCTCTTGTCAAACGCAGAGTACCACCCACGCACAGTATCCACCCCTAACCCAGCTCCAGGAAAGGCAATACGGTATTACATACGGTGGAGGGAGATACTAATTTCCAGTGTGCGTGCACACACACTTCAGTTCTAGCTTTTAGAGCTCTCAGTTATTTACTACAATAAAGGACAGAGAATTAGAAACCAGAAAGCTGCTTTAATTAAAATATGAAATTTTAGCCAGGAAAATCACTGGCTATGAATGACATGGAAGACCCAAACATTGAGAAACCTTTTCTTGTTGTTGTCCTTTTTATTTTTTTCCCCCGGAGACAGGGTTTCTTTTCTCTGTGTGGTCCTGCAACTTGTTCTGTAGACCAGGCTGGCCTCGAACTGACAGAGATCCACCTGCCTCTGCCTCCTACGTGCTGAGATTAAAGAAAGGCATGTGCACCAGCACCACCTGGCAGATGACCCCTCCCTTCAAGGCCTGGTTTACCAAGACATTCTCTCCATATTAATGAGGCAAAGTGGATATAGGGAAGGGCACTTGTAAGAATCAGGAATTCCAGAAGGCTGGTATTTTTCTCGATCAATAGATCAGGTTGTTCTCGAACTCATGAGATCCGCCTGCCTCTGCGCTCCCAGTGCTGGGACTAGAGGTGTGCAACACCACCACCTGGCTTACAGAGATATTTTCAAGTAAGAATGTTGAATAACAAGGAGCCATGCTTAAGACCTGAGCATATATGATCTAAGTATGGCCTCATTTCTTCTCCATGTACTTTCTGGAAACCTTAGAAACTATGGACTTTTTTTCTTTTTTAAATTATAAAAATTACCTTAACCTCTCATGCAATCCTTGTGAGTTTATCAGTTATAACCCTATCCAGTCCACACCAGAAACTGACCTATAACCTCCCTGAAAGGGGAGAGGGGTGCGCATGCCTGCCTGTCCCTGAGAATCTACATTTTGGTGGCAGGGGACACAAATCATGACAGTAAATGTCTGGGTTCAGCAAGGTGAGGTAACTGCACTAAATCCTGGACATGCAAGGAGAAATGGGGCGAGGTCCAGCTCTGACTCATAAACCTTGGCAATTTCTTCCACTTTAGTTGTTAATTTAGGACAACTCATAAAACCATTTTGCCTTCTACTCCAATGTAAACCAATCCAAACCCATCCAAAAGAATGGGTTTGAATCCCTAGAACTCAAGCAAGAGCCAAATGCGGTAGCAGGCACTGTAATCCCAGTGCTCCTGTGCTGAGATTTGAGGAGAGAGGAAGACTGCACAAGAAGCTTGGGTCCAGCTAGCCTGGAGACATGGGGGAACCTGGAGAAATGAGGGACCCTGCCTCAAAAACAAGGTGGATGGTGGAAACCAATTCCATGTCTGCACTGAAATTCACACACACAGTTCATATGCTTGTATGCATGAATGCACACATGAATGCATGCACACACACACACACACTGCAATGAGAAGCAGAATGGTGGCCCACATTTATAATCTCAGCCCTTGGAAGGTAGCAGCAGGATAATCAACCTGGGCATAAGACAGCAAAATAATGACAGCAAAACAAGCCAGTCTGTTCAAGGGAAAGTATTAGCCATTTCGAGGACTTTGGGCTCCTAACAATAACAGTCTGTACCCCACCCATCCCAGGATATCCGCCTCCTTCCCCACCCTCCTGGATGCAGGACACTGAGACATATATCTAAGAGCAAACTGAGGCCAAATCAATAGAATGGTATTTGAAATGAATGTGCAGTTAGTGTCAAAAGGTCCTAGGCACACACAAGAACAACATGTGTTTCCACCCCTTCCTGCCCCAGCCTCTGAAGACTGACGAGGGTGGGGTAGGGGTGGGGGTATTGGAAGACATGAATGAGGAGGCAATCCAGATCTAATGGAGTGGGACACTGTCTCAGCTACACTGTCTCCAGAAAAGACCCTTTCCCTCTGCCAGTATTGTTTATTTTGAGGCACTGAAAACAAGGAGACTAATTCTGCTGGAGAGGTAAAGAACTTAAGTGTTTAAATGTCTGTTGCCTAAGTTAAATAGTTTTATTTCTAGAGATGAGTTCTACACAAACTACAGAAAAATATCTGAGAAGCTACAGAACCTTTATAGAATCAGAAATGAAAGTCCCAGGGCAGCCTCCAAAGCCACAGAGAAGCAAAACAAAAAAGCACAACGAACAAACAAACAAAAAACCCAGAAATGGTCATTAGGGAAAATGACTGGGAAGGCTGAGATAGATGTATCACTTTTGTTTGTGTGTTTTTGTTTTTGTAGACAAGGTTTCTCTGTGTAGTCCTGGCTGTCCTTAAACTCACAAAGGGCAGGATTTTCCACCTGCCTCTGCTGGGAATGAAGGCCTGCATCCCTACACCTGGCTCAAACTCCACCACTTAATGGTTTTCTACAACAATGAGCTGCCTAGCCTTAATTAAAAGCCAGGAAAATAATGATCAATTTTAAAGAAAGGTCTTTAAACAGTATACTTAATGGCTGAATTTCTATCTTAAAATTTTGTCGATGGAGCTGAGAAATAAGAAGAAACATGTTTTATACCAGTGCACATAATCACCTTACACCTAGTACTTATTTCCATTTGGGGACGTTTTGGTGACTTGTCCAAGATGGGCACAGTTCACCTGCGGGAGTGTGATGGTGGCCCCATCAGGGGAGGAGACATCCTAGACAGACAACTACATCTCTCCTTTACAGTATCAGATTATTCAACAGACCCCAACGAATTAAGTTTCCTTAGGTATGTATTTCCTAGTGAAGAAGGGAAAGACTAAAGCACAAGCCGAAGCCAGGAAAAACCTGCCTGACAAATCTTCAGATTGGTTCTGACTGTTCCATAAACAGTTAAATTAGTGTATGTGTAGGACCTGCCTTTTCTTTCTCACTTACTGTAACACTGTTTCTGACAGGCAGGGTCTTTCTTGCCTTGTGTGGTGAATCCATGAATATGTTTTCCTTTACCAGTCTGCTTCCAAATTTAAGATACAAGGAAATCATGTCATGAGTTTATGAATCTAATACCTGGTAACAGAAAGACAAACTAAAGAGTCTTCTCCAGGCAGACAATCAGCTTTACAAGCCCTACTGGAAACATGAGGACAGGACTGTAGGGGGAAATGCTGACCACACCCACTTGAGGGCTGGCACAGGTGATGCTGACCACGAACACTTGGGCGTGGTCACAGTGACATAGCAAGGCTATAAATATCAGGGACACACACACGGGGCTCTTTTTTCCCTCTCCCGCCTGGTTGAACAGGCCTGGCTCTGTCGAGTGAGTACTTTCTTAAACTATCTGTGGTCAATCTAGTTCTGACTCCATTGTGATCCCATTAATTGCATTCTACTTTACAGGACAATCAGTGGGGCCTGCTAGCTCAGAGTCAGAGAGAGACCCTGCCTCAAAGGGAAAGGTGGATGAGTGATGAAGGATACTGTGTACCGCTTCCATGTGCACACACACTCATGCAAATACATAAACCCTAAGAAATAACCTGCCTATAAGGGCTGGAGAATGGCTAAGTCAGGAAAGGACTAACCCCGTAAGCAAGAGAACCTGAGCCCCAGCACTCATGTGGCTAAGCTCTCTATGACTCACTGGCCAGACATTCTAGTCTAATTGGTGAGCTCAAGGCTGATCAGAGAGACTCTCTCCAAGGAGGTGGGTGGCATTCCCGAGGATGACAGACATTGCCTGCACTGGGCATACATGCACATTACATCGTCAAAAGATCTACTTCCAGAGTTTAGTTCCTGTGGAGGTCTCATTACTCAAAAAGTCTTTATTTTCTGGGCTGGGGAGATGGCTCAGCAGTATTTTGTGCCAGCTTGGATCACAAGCAAATAGACAGACAGACAGACAGACAGACAGACAGATAAAATCAGCCTGCACTACAGGGCAAGATCTTGTCAAAATAACACCCACTTGCCAAAAAATCCCAACAATACTCCTCCCCTAGTTTTGTGGAGGGTGTTGGCTTGAGAGTTGAACAAGGCAGTCTAGGCCACAAGAACTAGACAGTCTCCAGGTAAGATAAAAATAAAGTAAGTTAGTCAGTGTGAATAAATAAAGCCCACAGAACTAAAAATATGTCAGTGTGGTCAATGTCTCACTCCTAAATTTTATCACCATGTTGGTCAACTTCTTCAATATCTACTACATAATTGCTATGAACCAAATGGCAGGTGGACACCCTTGACTCTTTTTCAGCCCAAACAGCCTGCTGATTCCTGCTAAAACTGAGTGTACCCTGGAGAATACAGCACAGCATGGAGGGCAGGGTACTCAGAAAAACAAAGCAGACAGGAGAAAAGGAACCAATTAATTTCATGGTGGCAGGCTATTAGGAAGACAAAATTCGTCACCTGAAAAGTGCCCAAAGCTGTGGGCTTCTGAATTGGAGCGGTGGTGACTCAAATGGGTCCAGACCCAGACAAAACCATCGGTACTATACATGAGGTGATTCTCGAATGTTACCTGTGGTGGTGAAAGGGACCCCTTTCAAGCTGGGCCAAATGAGAATGTGGGGTGGTCTCAGCATGCCAGAGGCTGCAAAGGAAGGTCACTGGTAAGGCCAGCCACCTGAGTGACAGAACTGAACCAAACCAAAGACATGAAAAGAGGAGGACTTGGAAAGAATGGGGTGAGGGGTGTGAGAAAGGGTGACGGGGGCAAGACTAACGAAATACTATATACATGAAATTGTCCAAGAGTTGGCGGAGGCACCTAGCTGAGCTACAAAGTATAACTAAGAATTTGTGATGCATACGATAGGGGTACGGTAACTGGCAGGAGAAAGGAGCCAGAGTATATAAGCTGGATATGTAATCAAGGTTGTCCAAGCCACAGGAATTCTACCCTTCCTTCTTCAAAGATTCACTGTAATTTTTATTTATGTATGTGTGTGGCTGCCTGAATCCCCTCAAGTTGTAGTTACAGGCAGTTGTGAGCCACCCGACACGGGTGCCTGGAAGCAAATTTGGGGCATCTGGAGGACCAGCATGCATCATCTGTACGCATCTCTCCAGCCTTGAAGTTTATTTATCATACAAGAAAGCAGCTGGACCATCAGATGCCAACAGGAACGCTGCTACAGAATGCTGTTTCTTCCTTCCTTTGTGTCTTGGTTGTCTGAGTTGTGTTGCTATCAATTTCTAAGAGCTTTTTATTATACCACTGTTTACAATCTTATATTTAAAATGCATGGAACGTTCTTTAAAAGGCTCGATGCCCTCCAGCTGTGCCCAGGGACTCACACATGTTCAAAGATCCAGGTCATTAAACAGCCACTCAAGTGCGTTTAGGGCACCTGACTCCATTTCCCTGAGCATCCATTCAGGGCCCAGGCTTCATTCCCAAGGCAGCCCGAGGTACCCATGCACCCAGTCCTGACTGGAAATGCTTGCTTGTGTTCTTCTCTACAAAAATTTCCAAGTTCAAGAGCTATAACAAAGGCCTAGATTTCAGTGATGCAAACTGTCACACAGTGGATGTTCTGCTGAGACATAGATTATTACAACTTGGCAAATGCTGGCCTCAGCACCCCCCAACCCCCAATTCTTGAGGATTATACTCATTGCTCGGCAGTAAATGACAAGCAGAGTTCCTCTGCAGAAACAGGGCACCCTAACCTGGTTAAAGACAATTAAATGTCAAAAGGAAACTAGAGAAGTTCAGACCAAGGCTCTAAGCGTCTGTCTCAGGATGACCAACTCGAGCCAGTGCTGCGAAGATTAACGTAACAACCTAAAGGGCTGACAGTGGCTTTTCAGGGCAGGTGAGACACATAGGTATCCCGTAAGGACTTCTGGGGTGTCTTAGCCAACTCAGTGTAGCAAAAGTTCACGATACCCTTAGGTAGATATCAGCTCCCTTCTCCCTGGCCAAATCTCAAAGAAGGAACAGGAGGGTGTGAGGATATAACTCAGATGCAAAGTACTTGTCTGATGTCAAGAAGGCCTTAGGTTTGCCAGCAAAAATAAAACACAAATACATTTAATTTCACTTTAAAAAATAACAATAAGAAGTCAGAGTGGCACAGGCTTGTAATCCCAGAAGCAGCAGGCCTAGGGGTGGTAATCCCTGTCACGTACTAGAGCAGGACACTAGTCCCACATGCAGAGTGGTGTGTTTGTGCATTGCTGGGGATGTACTAGACATAGTCATGTGACCTAATTATTGCTTACTGTTCTGTGCAAATCCCTCATCCCTATAAAACACATCAGATATCTTATGTTTAGCCATTTACCATGGCTTTAATATGGCATTTCACAGATATTCAACTAGCCTCTAAGGTGTGAATTAAGGAGCCTTTCTTAAGTTCTTTCTCAAACTCTTATAACCTTTGTAATACCTACTCAAGCAGCTTCCAGCTCCAAGTCTGGGCAGACCTTTTCCTATACCAGAGATGGGGACAGGAAGGAAGATACTGAGCTGGGGCCAGCCATGGGCTGTCTAGAGCATATCTCAACAAACACACCTACAAATATACTAACACCCAAAAATGCCAGATACAGACGGTGAGCATTGTATGATTCCATTTATACAAAAGAGCTTGACTGGACAGGTCCAGCAAGAGGAAGGTAGTGGGGTCACTAATAGGTAGAATCTGAGTAAAAATTTGAAAAGAACCTGGGCCATGGTGGTGCATGCTTTGAATCCCAGCACTCTGGAGGCAGAGGCAGGTGGATATCTGTGAGTTGGAGGCCAGCCTGGTATACAAAGTGAGTTCCAGGATAACTACACAGAGAAACCCTGTCTCAGAAAACCAAAACCAAACAAAAAAATTGGAAAGATGCAACTGTAAAGTATTGCATAAATGCTACTGGTTACATTAAAATTGTTAAGTGAGTGTGCAAATATAGGAACAGAAGTGGAGGATAACTTTACAAGCCTGTTCATCTTGTCTGCCTGATGAATTATTACATTTAAAATAGAAAGTTTTGTTGTATTTACCAGTTTTTAATCAACAAAATTATAGAAACCCAATTTAACTTCTGAACTGCTAAACAAAACAAACAAAAAAATCCTTCAAGGTCTGAGGGCAGAGACTTAATTTTGTTTTTGTTTTAAGACAGGATTTCACTATGTAGTTTAGGATGGTTGTGAACTCAAGCAGTAGCTTGGGCTAGCCTCAAACTCACCATGATCCTTGCCTTGGTCTCCTAAATGCTTGGCTTGGGAGGTTTAGTTGTGGAACTCAGACAGGGATCTAACCTGGGTGAACTTCTTCAAATCTGTGAGCTGGATACCTCATTATAAAAAAAAGAGAGGGGGGCTGGAGAGATGGCTCAGTGGTTAAGAGTACTGGTTGCTCTTCCAGAGGACCCAAGTTCAATTCCCAACAACCACATGGTGGCTCACATCCATCCATAATGAGATCTGGTGCACTCTTCTGGTGTGCAGGCATACACGGAGGCAGGATGTTGTATTCATAATAAACGAGGGAGAGAAGAAGCAGAGGGGAAGGGAGGGAGAGAAGGGTTCCAAGTGCAGCCAGGCCAGGCCAGGCCAGGCCAGGCCAGGTTTGTTTGCTATACAGCTGAGGGACTACAGGCAGTGTGCACCACCATCCCTGACTCAGTTTTTCCTCTGTGAAACAGGATAACAACAACACTCTATGAAGCCTATAGCAGTGAAGGCTAAGTGAGGTTGTTCAGGGAGCTTCACGGTACTCTGGATTACATGATCACACCAGGTAAGCACCATCTTAATAACTCTGGGTTTTACCAATCCTCAGTCCAAGTGAGTAACCTGCCACAATAACAGGTATGTGCTGCCTTGGAATTTGGGGCCCTGGTCGCCACAGACCACCCTCTAAAGGCAATGTGACATCCCATATACAGAGTTCACTAGGGAGCAAGAGTTTCAGGTCTTAAAAGCAGCTCTATGGGCAACAACACTGTAGCCATAATGACAAAGAAACAAGAGGACAACCAACTGTCCTCCCTCTCTCAGGCCTTCTCAGCACCAAGCCTCCCCTGCTCCTACATCCTTTCCTCACTGGCAACCCTCCTCCCCATCTTCCCCTCATTTGCATGTACTAGATCCCTTTTAAGTTTCCTTTTCTCACAGTGTGGAGGCCCAGCACGATGCTGGGGTTGGAGACAGTGCGTAAGCAGATCACAGAGCCCGTAGGCAGCATCAGGCTTGGTGGGCTGTCTATGAGGAGCAGCTGCAGGTTGTCTGGTGGGCATGGTGGACTGGTAGATGTTAAAGAAAAATGTCAACACAAATGAGGCTGGAAGGCACCACTTTTCAGCAGCCCGTTCAGGATGTTGTGGAGTCATGCCCAGGGCAAGGCCTATGGTGTACACACTGTGTACAGGTTCCTTCTGTGGCTTCACTGATTACTGCTAATACTGCTAATTACTGCAGCTGCCCGGTGTCTAAGTAACTTAGGCATTTGTTGAGTTTTTTTTTTTTTTTCCTTTTTTTTTCCTCTGAGTATATTTGCTTCCTACAGGAGACACCTTCAGATGAGAGGCAGTTCCAAAAGGCAAAGGTTGATTCAGAGAAAAAGAAGTAAGTCAAAGTGACTCTAGGGAAGTTCTGTGGATATGCAGACAATTGGCCACTTGCACTTTTCAGGGTGAAGTGCCCAGCCATGTCGAATGGTAGCCTGCACTTACGTCTCCTACAGGGGGTGGAACCCTGGACTTAGTCAGGTAGGCAAGTATCCTACCAACTGGGTTACATCCTAGACCAGGAAATGCAGTCAGTCATCCCTTCCACCACCATCCCCATTAAAACTGCCAGCCAGACAAGCCAGGCTGTAGTGACATACACCTTTAATCCCAGAACTCAGGAGGCAGACATGAGGATTTCTGAGTTTGAGACCAGTATGGTCTACAGAAGATCTCCAGAACATCCAAGGCTACACAGAGACGGAAACAAAACCAAATGTCTGGAAACAAAACCAAATGGCCTTTCTAAATTGTTTTGTTACTTCTATTTATATCTGTGTGCCTGTGCATGGGTGCACTCATGCCATTGGGCCACAGCATGTGTGTAGAGGTCAGAGTACAACTTGTAGGAGTTGGGTTTTTCCTTGCACTGTGTGGGTCCTGGTGACTGAACTCAAGTGTCAGGCTTGGTGACAACTTTTTCTATTTGCTGGGCCACCTCACCGGTCCCCACATTTCCCTTACAACCCACCACTATGATCTGATAACTCTGAAAACCTAATTCCCTCCTCACAGATCTCCCAGTGGCTGCTGCCAACACCTTCTGAATTGTTGACTGCTTTACAGTCTTAAGGTCTTCTGTCAATTACTCCCTACTGCCTTCCAAGTCCAACACACTCCATTCACTCACCTGTGCCTGTGTAGAACTAGTCATGACTTCTCGAACAAAGCCAGCTTGTCACTGACCCCATCCTTCCCCTGAATTATGGCCATGGAATTAGGAGCAGAAAGAACATGATGGACTCTTTGGCTTTTGTTTACTCCTCTGGGCGGTAGAGACCCACACCTGGGGATAAGGATCAGGTGGGTCCATCAGAGCCTGTGTCAGAGCCTGCATGCTGGGAAGACTCTACTTAGGGGATATGCAGCTCTCCTCAGTCACTCCATAAATCTCCATCCATTAAAAAATGGGTTTTCAGACCCATGAGATGGCTCAACTAGCAAAGGAGTTTGATGATCCAGAATCAATCCTTGGAACTCACATAGCAGAAAGAGAGAACAAAGTCTCCTTCAAGTTGTTCTCTGACCTCTCTACACACATGTCATGGCAAATCAAAAGGATGTATTATGATGATGATGGTTGCTATTAATCTAGGACTAAAACTGATATTTTTAAACAATTCAACACACACACACACACACACACACACACACACACACACACACGCACGCGTGCGCGCACGCAAGGAATTCTTTTACTCTTTTCAGAAAAGAGTCCAAGGGAGGCCAGGGCTAGGCAGCTAGCCCCAGAATTATGGCAGAATGGAGGGGGGAAGACGTACAGCTGTACGAGCTATGACTGGCAGCCACAGAAGATGCTCTGTCTGGTTGGACATCAGCCATCACTCACAAGCCTGCTAATAAAGAGAACTAATTCAAATGCTTTGCCAATAGGATTAACCTACCTCTTGTCCCCTTCCAAGAGTTCTGCTCATCTAATCTAAAACCCTCATAACTGGATCACTTACAGACCCAACAGAAGACTTGGGAACCAGTGGGCAAGAACTTGATGCTTCCCCATCGGAAATCTCAGTTGCTTGCAGGGCTGTATTATGGGGAGGCTGGAGACTCCGGCCCTGGAAATACCTCACCAGGGGGACGGGGACAGAAAAGGCCATTTCTAAACTTTCCACAGGGTCACTTCGGCTTCTTCATGGGAGCAAGAAGAAGGGTCAAGTGGGAAAATGATGATATGCTTTCAATTTCCCCCCCCCCCCAGAGAATCACCCAGTTTTTTTTTTTTTTTTTGAAGATCACTCCTGGCATTTGAAGCTGAAGGCCATTAATTGCTAAATTTAACATCTCACAATTACTAGGTTATTTATTCAGTTAGCATTCGCCAGAAGTCAAGTTAAATTGCTATTTTAGGGAAAGAGCTCAAGCAAGTTAAGAAATGTTTATTATACAATAAAATAATCTTTTAAATAACTTTTAATGACAGTTTCTCGAACACATCTATACTAAATTTATCCAAAGGAGATCTCCACTGAAATAACAAAGTGCTAGGGGGAAAATGGTACGTGCTTAGGAAAGATGATGTACTAAACTTGGAGTGCATGCCTATGCTCCCAGTGTCGGCACTTTTTACGGATGGAATTACTGATTGTCTTTAAAGGGCGAGGTAGAAGGTTGACACTGAAAGCAATTTTATTAGCAAAGGTTGAAATTGAGACTCTACAGCTACTAATACAGCTCAGTGTAACTCTTGACACATTCACGTGGCTGGCGGAGGCACAGAGCTAAGACTGTAGCATATACCTGAGCTTCAGATATGGTATGCAATACCACTCGACACGGGGGTGGGGCAGGAGCCTTTCTTCTTATAAAATAATTGTTTGATACTTTGACATACCACTGCTGGCTACAGAAAAAAAAAAGATTTATATAATACTGGTTGATAATAAGCAATTCCTTAACCTCAAGAAACATTAAAACAAAGGACAAGTACATAACTAACATAAGAAGGAATGGGTAATAGGACATCTTAACTGACAAATCAGAGGTAGGCATTTAATATTTAGCAGCATCATTGGTAGAATGCTACTGAAAGTATCTCATCAGTATTGTCTGCTCCCTGTTTTATGCTCATTTTACATTTGAAGACACCCACCCCTGGCACACTGCCTGGGCAGTTTCGTGTACCCAGGGTTGGCCTCCAACTCCTTATGTATTTGAACCCTGAGATGCCCCTGCCTCCAACTCCCAAGTGCTATTGCACTGTATGTTGGACTTCAGAGACATTCCTTTTACAAGTTAAATTACAACCACCACCACCCCTCTTAGAGAAAATGTCTCATGAACCCCAGGCCCTCCTACTGCTATACCTCTGGAGTTCTGTGGCTACAGATATACATCACCATACTTGGGCTTACATGGTGATAGGGGATGAACGGAGGGAGGGCTCTGCACATACCAGGGAAGCATCTACCTGGTGGGCTGCATCCCCCGCCCTAAGTGTCTTTTTTTCTAATGATCCCTGCAGGAGATACTTTAATTTCACCAGAAGAAACTACTAGACATGAAGAATTATTTTCCATTACAATACAGCTGAGAAAGCCTGAAAAGTGAGAAGAAACAAAACAAATCATAAACACCACTGTTTTCAGCGTCCGTTCTTAATTTAAAAACCTTAATTAAAACACTTCCTCCTTTCTAAAGCTTTTCTAGGGAAAGCCATAGAGATGCCCTCTTGTGTAGACAGAGGAACTGCTTTGTCAGGTCCATAGACATCACTGAGCTCTACGTCGGCAAGACCAGCTCAGGGGCACCAGGGAGCATCAGTCCTGGGCCACACACACCCTCTCACTAGTGTGCATGACGCACATTCCCACTTGGCCTCACTGAGGCAATGCTGTGGGTGTCTCTTTCTATCAGAAAAAGTTGCCACTATTCCCAGCCCTGGGCATTAGAAAGAAAGGCTGCTTTCCAGGAAAGCTCCCTGAGAATGTGGGAGTCCATGACACTCACAGGTAGGAAAAAACAAAGAAATGAAAGTCAGCATGGTGGTGTGTGCCTTTAATCTCAGCACCCAAGAGGTAGAGGCAGGCAGATCTCAGCCTGGTCTACAGAGTGAGTTCCAGGACAGCCAGGTATGCACAGTGAGACCTTGTTTCAAACAATCCAAAAAAGAACGAAATTAAGTTAGCAATTTCCCCCACAAGCATCAATATAGGGAGAGATAAACCCTCATCAATCTCACACTGAAAATTCACCATGAAAGGATAAGGATTAATGCCGGTAGGGGGTGGGCTACCGCTAAAGCCCCCGGAATCAGGAAAGTCTAGTTTCAGCCCCCAGTGAAGGAATGGAGAAAAGAGCAATGGACATGCCTTCCAGCTAAGAAGTTGCTACGTGTGGTGGCACAGACCAACAATTCCAGCACTGAAGAGGGGAGGCAGGAGGACCAGAAAGAAGCAGGTTAAGATCAGTAAGGACAGTGGAAGAGGTGTTCCATCCTAGGCATCTGAATCCGGTCTCTCCTGCTGCGCGGCAGTCAGGGCGAGTACAGTCTATTCGAACCCAGGATGCATACCCGTTCAAAGGGCAAAGGGCACTCCTGAACTCAGCAAACCTTTGATCTCACTGCCCTTAACTCTGTAGGCAACAGAGGGACATGAGAACAAAGAAAAGGCCATGAAGATGAAGAAAATGACAAACCCCAGAGAAGGACCTTTTTCTCAAGAAGGCTAATCACTATGAAAACGAAAACTGCTAAAGCCAGTGAATACTATATTGCCCTCACAGAGAACTAACAGTCGTAGAGAGAGACCACCCCAAGTTGATATTAAGTAAATAATGGCCAAAGTCTATTAAGTATAAGTGGTGCATTTATGGTTTTAGTTATACTATTTTCATTACGTTTGGAGTGGGGGGGAAGGGAGAGGGAGAACCCCCCCAGCAGTAATACAAACCATGTAGACACCAATCTTTTCTGTACAAGTTTCCCCAGGGAAATAGCTCAGTCAAGTGAAGTGCTTGCCTTGAGAGCATGAGGTCTTGAGTTTGATCCCCACAGTCTATGTAAAAATGCTAAGTGGATCCCCGAATGGCCAGCTAGCTAGTCTATACTAAGTAGTGACTCACAGGTCAGATTTCAGTTGTTTCAAATGAGGTAAAGATGGCAGTCAAAGTTATTCCACGGTGTACACACACACCAAAACAAAAACCAAAACCAGGTTTCTTCTTTAAAAATCACTAACAGGGCTGGGCAGTGTTGGCAAATGCCTTTAATACCAGCATTCAGGAAGCAGAGGCAGGCAGATCTGTGAGTTCAAGACCAAACTCCAAAGCTCCAGGGGAAAGAGAGAAAAGAAAAGAAAAGAAAAGAAAAAAAAAAAACCCAACAGATTCCATGAAGTATGAGTCCCAAGTATTGGTGACTTCTACTGCCTGGGGAATGTTTTGACCAATGATGTCCTTTTGTATCTGTCTTTTCCTTGAAGACACAAGGCGCGGGCATTTTAATACATGTCTTACTTTCCTACCAAATTAAGGCTTCTAGCAACACCTAGAAGGTCTTGCTCTCCTCATGGGGAGAGGGCAGAGGGAATCAGCATTTGGCTCACTCTTATGCCTTTTCATACGTCAAAGGGAGAGGATCTTGCCTCACACAGCTAAGGGCTAGCAACTCCACAAAACTATATTTGTGGTAGTGGCTAAATTAAACAACAGCTTAAAAAGTCACACTCCTAGTCACGCACTTAACAACCTCCAGCTCCTGAACTCTCCTATAGCCCCAGAACAGCCTGGCCAATGCATTCATTCTGCTCTGTAGGAACCACAGAACTAAGGACCCTGCTAACTAGCCCATGCCAGAACTCAGAACTACAGAATCTTGGGACAATAAAAATGTTTTAGGCAAAACAAAAATCACCTAAAAGGTTTAAAAAACAAAAAAAAACTAAACCCCACCAAACCCTTCCACAGGAGAGGTACTTGGGCAGAGTACTGTTGGTAAGGGTGTGTTCTGGTAAGGGGTAAAAATCTAAGCCTGCCATTTGCAGATCAAAACCTACATGCCCTGCATGCAGCATTCCTAGATCTAGCAGGTTAGCAGCTTGCCTTGGCTGCTTCCTTCTGCTGAACACAGCTCTTCAGTGCCTTCTGGGACTCCTTCTTCCTTTAAGTTTAGATCTGTGCATGGGCTTCTCCACAAGCCCAGCTACTGTTTTGCACACAGTCTGCTTCCTGAGATCTTCCCCGAGCGGCTGACATGTTCAAAGCATCCCAGAAGCCCCTCTGCCATCCTGTTCATGGCCCTCAGCCTCACCGGGTGTTACGTCTTGAAGACTACTTTCAACCCTTGTTCTGCCTCATGCTACTGGTCCTCACAGGCCCGTTTTCTCTAGGGTAACAGGTGAACAGAACTTCTCTCCCTCCCCAAAGTGTTGGATAAACTGAAATGAGAGAACTGGGACAGGACTTCACTGTTGCTTCCTGTATAGGGCTGTTAATGTTTGACAAGCTTGATCTCCTTGACCTTCAAGGGGGTATTTCATTAAAGGACAGAAAGACACTCCTCCACCTCCTGCCACTAATTATACTACTTTGTTGAAGTAGATACATAGCACTTTGTTAGTATAGCTGAGCTCCTAGAGGCTAACTGCTGCAGGATGCAGAGGAGGAGACCCAAGACCTCAGTTGGGAAATGTGTCATACTGAGGCTTTCCTCCTCCTCCTTGCACTCTCCCAGCAGACATCACATCTGTTCATCTTTCGGGAAAGAGCCTTGGTCACAGGGAGTTCACGATTAGGTATGAAATCCACAAGGCCAAAAGCTGGGAAGGAAAGGGATGATGGCATCGAAGGGCTGAATAACCCCATTCGATCGGCCATCTGTATTGTTTACTTGCTGTTTTTCACCCACCATATTAAAATACACTCTCCTGGAATAAGATAATTTTCTGTGTCTAACTTCCACATATATAGATACCGTTAAATCAAAATAGCTGCATTATGGCACGGGGCGGGGGAGGGGGATACCAATGAATATGAAGAAATCATGTATACACATTTTGAAGACTATATTATGACGCCTTAAAACCGTGATGCTTAACAAATGTCTAATGTTTAAGTTTCCTGAGAAATCAGAAGGCAGGGCAAATAGCCTGGGTCATTCTTTACCTGGAGGAGTGTCCTTGAGAAGAACAGGTATCCTTGTCTCAGTGAGGCAGAAAACTTGCTGAGCCCCAGGCCCAAGCAGCCTAGCTCTACCCTTGCCAAACTCCGCTGCTGGCCCGTGCAGACTCCCATGGCCATGAAACCACAAGCAAACAGTAACTTTACATACTTACCAATAGTTTTTTCTTTCTTTCTTTCTTTAAATGCTATTATTTTTAAGTGGGTGGCTTGAAGGAAAGTCTTGAGTAGCCCAGGATGACTTTGATCCAATCCTCCTGCCTTTACCTTAATACTGGGACCACAGGTGTGCACCAGTTGCTTGGCTTATGAAGTGCTGGGTGTAGAACCTAGGGCTCAGGATTGCTAGACATCACTTGTTTATCTTAGACTGGCTTAGAGCCATCTTTATATCTCAGGCAGGTGCCAAGCTTATCTGCTGGCAGAGGCTCTTAGGCTTAAATTTAATAAGAGTAAAGATGTATGCAGGGGAACACAACCATGAAGACAAACAGGAAGGGGGAAAAACCCACCAACAATTGCAAATAATATTGATACCTGCTTTGCTAAATGCACTAAATAAAAATTATTCCAGTCAAAAAAAAAAATGCCATTAATGTAAGTAGAATATTTGGGGGAAGAGGGCAGGGCATCCTTCACATTCCAAAACAAGTAAGATAGGCTTTAGCTCCACATCTGTGCAAATCTCTTTAATGTTTAGTTTATTAAAAGACAACTAGATCCTCACATCTGCCTCTAATTAAATCTATCTCAACACACTGTTTTGGTTCTAGTACATGAAAAAAATACTGCCTCGAAGAGTTGTCAACCAAACCAGACAAGCTGTAGATTCCCCCCCCCCCCAACCCTGCCTTTTTCAAAAAGTTTTTTTTGGTTTTTCGAGCAATATAGGGTTTCTGTGTATAGCTTTGGAGCCTGTCCTAGAACTCACTCTGTAGACCAGGCTGGCCTGTAGACCAGGCTGGCCTTGAACTCACAGAGATCCGCCTGCCTCTGCTTTCCAAGTGCTGGGATTAAAGGTGTGCTCCACCAATGCCCAGCTGCTGTGGATGCTTTTTATGGGTAATCTTTGATATTACAACAAAAGGTGACAAAAAACTCAATTCTTTACAAAATTAACTTTCTAAGCTAGTGAACACAACAATCGGTTGTGTCCTCACCTTTCTGTCTAATCACACTCCTCCCACTCAAGGTCCCTGTCCTTCCCCTTCTAAGACCCTTCTGCTTGATGTCACAGATAGTCAGATCCAGACTCCACAGAAGAGACCATGTCACGTGTCCTTCTCGCAAAGAAAACACGACCTCTGCCCATAGACCAGACAAGTAGCAGCTTTGAAGGATATGTTGCATAGTGGAATCTAAAATGTCAATGAGAATCTAAAATGCTACATTAGAATCAACTGTTACTTTTAGAAGGATTTTCTTCCTCATCCATGATTTTGTAATAAATCATGTCATTCGAAAAATACTGGTTATGCTATGTGTATCTTCCAAATGTTGACTCATTTCACTATGAAATAAAAAAAATCCACTAGCTTCACAGCTATGAGTTGGGAAGCTATAACTCTTGGGGGTAGAAAAGTTTTCTAAACTAAATTTTTGATTAATTAAAAGCCTTAATTTCTAATTAGAGCTTTCATTTTATTGGTCATAAGTTATTTTCCTTAAAATGATGAGCTGATATTGCACATTTGTGAGAAAGCCTGTCTGCTAAATCTTTGCCTCTAAAGAGGCAGTTTCTCCGTGGTACCCATTAAAAGGGTCATGATAATTGCATCGCTCAACTTACAACCACAGAAGCATGTGGTTTTTTTTTTTTTAATTTTAATTTAAATTAGAAATGAGATTGTTTTACATGTCAATCCCCATTCCCTCTCCCTCCCCTGCCCCCACTAACACCCTATCTATCCAATACCATTTCTGCTCCACAGGGAGAGTGAGGCCTTCCATGGGGATATTCAGAGTCTGTCACATCCTTTGGGATAGGGCCTAGGCCCTCCCCCGTGTATCTAGCTGAGGGAGTATCCATCTATGTGAAATGTGCTCCCTGCTTTTGTTTCTTTCGTGTGTTTTTATTACATACATGTATGCGCATGCGCGCAAACACACACACTCACATACTTATGCGACTCACTGGTGCACTTGCAAGCTGAGACGGATGAACGGTATATTTGTTTCTGTAGTGATGGGGACAGAACCAAGGGTCCCATTGACTATGGCCACGTGATCTACTGCTGATTACTAGCTCAGCTGAAAGTGTTGCCTCAAAGACATTTTTTAGATAAAATTTTATTTTTTAGTAGTAAAAGTGTACAGAATATAGTTTTAATTAGCAAATGTCAATGCCACTGTCCTTGTATTTAAAAGGCCAGTGAGTTGGGCATTGGTGGCACATGTTTTCAAGGCCAGGTCTGGTCTACACAGTTGAATTTCAGGACAATAAAGGCTAGAGAGAGAAACCATGCTTTGAAAAACAAATAAATGATAGATAGATAGATAGATAGATAGATAGATAGATAGATAGATAGATCAATAATTGTGTCCACCACTCTACAATGAGGGAGGGGAACTATTCTCATGAGGGCAGCCAGGGCTTAGGGATATAGCTCAACAGGAGTAAAGGGCAGAGGGCTGAGGGTGTGAAGAAACTGTTTAAACAGTTTAGACTTCATGAACCACCTGGGAATGGGTCAGAGACCACCTAAGGGTTGGAGGACCACACTGAGAACTGCTGTGCTGCACAGGCAGCAGCTGCTGCTTATTCGAGGACCACAAGGGTGGGAAGAAAGAAGAAACAGGAATTTGCAACAGTGGTTGGCAACAAAGACCTGACAAGCAACTGAGGAAAGATGACACTTGAAGCTCAAGAATGGTGGCACAGACATGGGAGGTCAAGGCTAGGCTAAGTTACAGGAGACCCTGTCACAAATATAATTAAATCAAGGCTACCGGCCCTCCTGGATGTCTCCTATATACTTAATGCTAACATAAATACTTTTATCAGTAAACCTGGTTTACTGATAAAAAGCACGGGTGGGGAAATTATCCCTTAGGAGACGAACTAGACGTGTCTGTGAGGGCATTGCCAGTCAGGCTTGAGCAAGGATGGAAGCAACTGAATGTGAACAGCAGCTTTCTGAGGGTTGGGACCTGGGGCTGAATGATAGGAAGACCACAACTGTGGAGCATCTCTCTGCTTGTGACTGCAGATACAATGTTATTACCTCTCACTGTTTGCAACTGAGGATACAATGTTACCGCTCACCTCCTTCTTACCACAATGCATTCCCTGTCATCATGGACTGTACCTTCAAACTGTGAGATAAGCTTGTCATGAACTTGATCACAGCAATGGAAAAAGTACACACATCAAAACTAACCAGGACAAAGAACTCAACATTTTCTTTGCCAGCATAATAATATTTTCTTTTAATCCCAAGAGCATGCTGGTGGGAAGATGGCTCAGTTGCTAAGGTACTAGCTACATAAACACCCAAGTACAGATTCCCAGCACCCACATAAAACAGAGAATGGCTGTGGTCTCCCAGTGCTTGGAGGGAGGGGTTGGAGTCAAGCCTGAGGCTTGCTGGCCAGCTAGTCTAGCCAGTTACTGAGCTCCAGGTTCAACGAGACCCTGGCTTTCAAAAATGAGGTGGGCTGTGACAGAGAAAAAAAGATGCACCAGGTTGACTTCTGTCCTCCACATTCACCTGTACAAAGGTGTGCACACATGTACACATGAGTCTACCTCTCCCAGCAACGCACCCAAATGCTATACATAGACTGTCTACATTATGAAAACTTAACATAAACAACCGAGGGTTCCCAGAGTCACAGTTCCGCCCTCAACCCTCACAAACATGCAAGATAGAATCTTTTCTTTGCTTCCTGTCTCCGGTCCTGTCCCTACCCCCCAAAAGGTCCTATATATGGAGAGTGGGAGTAGGGTTCCCAGCACCTCACTGTCAGAGCAAGCATGGGATAGACAGACGTCTTCCATGTTTGCAGTAGCATATGGTGCTCTGGAAAACAGAAGCACAGAACTGTTTTATGGTCATTTGGAGCTTCAGACAAGGAGGATCTCTCCCCCCCCCACACACACACACACATATTATGGACTTCACAGTTCTGAGCTTTCACAAAATCTCTTCAGATGTAAAGCTCACACAGTATTAAGTGGAAAACTCCAGGGGTGTGGCAGGAAAATAAACAAGGGTTCTGATTCTTCTAAGGGTTAGTTATGCCCTGCCAGCTATGTAGTAATTACATACATGATTTGGAGGCTGCAAGGGCAAGGTGAGTTTATAAGGAACAGGGTAAATGTTGTTTAATTCCCAAATACAACTGTACATTAGAATCACCCAAGGTGTGTCTAAAAATTCAGAGGTAAAGGGGCTTGAGAGAGACTTGGTCAATAAAGTGCCTAGCCGATGGGCAAAAGTTCAATTTCTATTGTCTACAATGAAAGCCAGGCTCGGTGTAACGTGCTGTAATCCATGGAAGTAGAGTCAGAAGGGTTGAAAAGCTACAGGTCCCATTGAAAAACTGTGTGTGTGTGTGTGTGTGTGTGTGTGTGTGTGTGTGTGTGTGTGCGCGCGCGCGCGCACGCACGCACACACGGGGGTGGGGGTGCATGCAAAGACAGATCACCTGAGGTTAACATCTGGCCTCAACATGCACTTACATATACACACACATCTGTGCACACAATTCAGAGCTAAATCCTCTTAGTTTAGATCCCACAGAAGCAAAGCCCCCCACTGACTTGGGTTCAAACTCAGGAAACTGGTTTAGTGCAGAGCTCTGGGGTCCACTGACAATCTGCTCAAAATGGGATACAGGGCTAGGGATCCAATGCCCAGCACTTTAAGAAGCTTGGCCATGGCCACCAAATACCAGTTATCTCAGCACTTGGGAGGTGGAACAGGAAGGCCAGAAGGTCAAGGTCATCTTCAGGTATTTACTGGGGTTAAGGCCAACCAGTCTTTAAATTTAAAAAAGAATGGACAAGGAGATCTGTTTAGTCTGAGCAAAGGCTCTAATAGGTGTTGGCTGCCTCTGCCTTTAGGTATACTATAAGGGGCAATACAAGGTATATTGCAGTTTAAACTCCATGCACATGATGATAAACTCAAGCAAAGTTATACTTCTTATGTATGTGCATTTCATTGTATGCCAGAAAGACTGTATCCTGGGGAAGAGGTAGCTAGAAAAATGGCTCAGCAGTTAAGAGTGCTTGCTGCTCTTCCAGAAACTGACTTCGGTTCCCAGCACTCACAAGTGGCTCACAAACGACCTTAAGTTAACCCTCCCCTGGCTTCCACAGGCAGTGCACACACATGGCACATACACAGACATGCATTTAAAGATTGCATATATTTTTTATAGACCATTACTGTGTAGCTGCTTCCACATTTTCTGGCAATAAGCAATTATGACCGAATTTTAAGACATAAAAACAAATCCATGGCATGTTAAAACATTCCAGGTACACGTCTTGTTGTTCAATGTTGAGTGTACGAATGCAGACAACTATAGGAGTCCTAACAGTGAGAAGCAAAGGGCACATTACATACATATTTTTATGTTCACATATCAATGTATTATACATGGCTGGGCCTGGTGAGACTGGACTATACCCAGATATTCAGGAACCTGAGGCAACCATTGTAGGTTCAAGGGCATTGAACCCCCCCACAGAACCACTGCATTATACAATAAGGGCTACAAGGAATACTAACTTTTTTGCTTTGTTGTTGTCTTTCAAGACAGGGTTTCTCTTTGTAAAAGTTCTAGCTGTTCTGGAACTCGCTTTGTAGACCAGGCTGGTCTTGAACTCACACAGGCCTACTTGCCTTTAGAGTGTTGTGATTAAAGGTGTGCTCAAATTAAAGATCTTTTTTGTTTGTTTGTTTGCTTGTTTTCATTTTTCAAGACAGGGTTTCTCTGTGTAGCTTTGAAGCCTATTTTGGAATTCACTCTGTAGACCAGGCTGGCTTTGAAATTGCAGAGATCCGCCTGTCTCTGTCTCCCGAGTGTTGGGATTAAAGTGTACCACCACTACCTAGCTCAAACTAATGACCTTATTAGTGAAAATGTAGTTAGTTTGAGTGCAGAGGTTCACACCTATCAACAGTGGTGAGAAGCAGACAAACAGGAGAATGCCTTTAAATTCAAAGCCCGCTTAATCTACCCTGGAGCTCCAGGCTATCCAGGGCTACACAGTGAGAACCTGCACAATACACTGCACTCACCATCCCAAAAATTAGCTAGGAAGACATACTACTTTTCTGGAATTGTACCACTCACTCTTTCTCGTAAACCCACAAGGAAGGACAATTGACTGCAGCAACAAAATACTGACACCCATCAACCTAAGAGGAAAGAACAGGAACCCAGATGATCAGAAAAAATAAAAATAAAAAATTGGATTACCTCTTGCCTACTACCCACAAACATTTATGTCTTCCTAACCCTGGCATGGGTAATCTTGTGGTATGGCCTTGTTAGCTCTTAGAACCATCACATGACTAAAACATAACTTTCATCTTATATTTGAGAGAACAGGAGCACAGAAAGATTAAAGGCCTTTGTGAAGGTTGCTAAACGTGATCACTGCTTGCCAGAATCAGAATTGTCAGATACCTTGGGGTCTATGGTCAAGGCCACGATCACCGTCACACACCTGGTTCCTGACTCTTTGCTCCAGCACGATCCATGCGTGGCTGGCACACACAGGAGTCAGGTGCCAACTAGATCAGGCCGTGGCAACTCTCATGTCCTTCCCAATGGGGCCAAGATTATCTAACAACCGTGACTGCCATCAACTTTGTGGATTGACAGCTCTGTGAGGCAGTAACCATAGCTTCCTTCTTTCCCAGGATGCAGTACACTGGGCCCTCATCTCAGTCCAACAGGTTGAGAGTTGAGTGCAAGTAAATGTTTGTTGTATAATCAAATCAGAGAACACGCTTCCTTTAGAGATGACAAGGAACACCTTCCGGGCTAGCCACGTGACAGCACTGACAAAAAGCAGCATTCATGTCAGTTCCTCACAGCCAAGGACACAAGCCCTCTGGGCTTTTCCAACCCCCAAATTCTAAGTCCCCGGCCTCCTCCAGCTGACAGGAAGTTAAACAGATCAACGCTGCAAGACAGACGGAACTGGACCCACCAGTCCACCTCACTCAGGCACTGTTAGTCTGTGATGGGATTCTCAGAAAATGTCGACCCTGGAGAGGACACGGAAAATCAGTTCCCAGAGGGGAGGCTAGTGGATGACAAGGTCAGCTAAGTTACAGTGGAAGGCAGTTTGTCAGCACCCCTGCTATATAAAGAGAAAGCATACTAACTTTAATTTTCTCAAGAAAACACTATTATCTGATTTTCCAAAAGCACAGCTTTGGGGGGGAGCAGGGGCAGGGTGGCATGGCTTGGTGAACACACACACACACACACACACACACACACACACACACACACGGGACACAGGGCTATTGGGAGAGCGCCTGAAACTCACTATTTAGCTTAGGCTGGCCTCAAACTTGTGGCCATTCTCCTGCCTCATCTCACCACCATCCCACCCCGCCACTTGACCCACGCTGGGCAATACAGGTGTTGAGGTACCACACCTAGCTTCAAGTTTGTTTTGCCAGGAGCAGGCCCAGTAATTTGATTGTGCCATGGAGATTCTCTGACCAAGAATGGAAAAGAAATGAACAGTGTGGCCAGACAGCCCAGCTCTGTGGACATGTGACTTCAGGGCCCTAGGGATGGCAGGCTATCTGTCTGTCTGTCTGGTCCTTAGCCACTTGGTCCATAGGTCCATAAGAAAAGCAGTCAGATTAGAGATGAAAGGCTAAAACTTGGTTGGTTTGTCACCAGGGTGACACTTCCTATTTAAATTAATCACTTTAGTGATGCTGAGACCCAAGGCAGGCATGTTTCTTTTGCACACAAGACACAAGGCATTCTAAAAGTATTCTTTGTAAATGTCCTACTGAGGAACCCTCCAGACACAAAATGTTTCCAGAATTCAGACAGCAAGATTCAAAGTTCAACTTACTCATCCACTTACTTTACTAAATAAATATATGTATCACAAAGCGCTGGTCTAAATGGGTCAAGATGTAACACAAACTATTCTCTGAAGATACAGTTCTATATAGACTTCCTTCCTAAACATTCAAGTTACCTAGGACATGAAAAAGCAAAATAATCCCGCTCCCCCCACTTTGACTTTCTTCTCTGGCTCCATAAAAAGCTTTGTGTTTGGCAGTGGTGGGGAATGAACCCATTATCTATGGTTTTCATGGTTAGCACCAGTTCCCTTAAGCTCACTGGGCTCCACATAATTAGCTTCCAGGAGGATCTGATTGAATTTGATGTTCACATGACACAGGGCGAGCAAGGAGCCCACGTGCCTTTTAGCTACACCGAGAAGGGCACTGAAGGGGAAGCAGGCAGAGGTCAGAACTCCGTGCTATGGGAAGAAGATCAAAAACCATGAGACAGAACATTCCAGATAACTGCGTAACCTGGACTTCTATGGGTGCCCTGCCATATTAAATCACACATGGCTCTGTAATGAGAGGGAAAAATTAAAGTCTATCTCATGCCTCACTTCTGCACTGATTGAGCATGAGAACAAAGATAAAGTCAGCCTTTTAAAGGCATTCACTCAAAGGCAGAAGTCATGGTCTGCACAGTTAAGGCCATAAGCTCGACCATGTGGGGTAAAAATCTTGTTCAACAATTAGCCAGGGTCCTTACATAAATAATTCAAAACAGGAAACCTAAACTTCTCTAAGCCTTTACTGATCTTAGAGTGCTAAGCTCTGACTGCTCCTATCTACCTATTCTCCTTGTGTCTCTCCTCCTGCAGTTCTCAAAACAGGACAGCTTGCTTCCCAACATCTGCTTCTTCTACTTTTAATATTTTTCCAAAGCCAAAAAAGAGTAAAGAGAATCCGAGAACCAGCTGCTCCTTCTAAGGATGGGGGCAGGGAAGACAGTATGGGCACACTCACAATGGCTGACAACATGTCAAGGAAACCCAGAAAATGGAAACCTATCAGGAAGGTGTGGTCCTGTTCAAGCTGAACCATTTTTTAGGATGGCCAATCACCAACAAGAGGGCCATCCTCAGGATTTAGGTAGGAAGAGCAGGCTATTGGGTCACCAAAATGGCAAACAGGAACTAGCAAGCTTGTCATCCCATAGTGTTATCGCACAAGCAGCCTATAACAACTCTTTGCTGTTGCCGTTGCTGTTTCCCAAATGAAAAGTAGATCAACTTACATGGCTCTCTGGCAATGAACTGAGGTACAGTGTTGGGCAAAGGAGTACTGGGGTTTGGAGTCCCTACGAGTTTGTTCTTGGCCATCTTCGTGTTTGCCTTAGCAAACTCTAGTCGTAGTGTTTGCGGGATTTCAGGATCGAAGCGTATGCCCTTTGGGAAAAAGAACAAATGGAAGATGTAACCAGAATGGTGACAAAATGAACATACACTAAACTCTGGCCTATCAGGGAACAAGGTCAGCATTTTACAAAAAACATGCAAAACCCATACTACAATATGACCGGAAAACCAGGCAAACTAGCTCGTGCTACTAGAATGAATATTCAGTTACGGGGATGGGCAAACATCCCTGTTCTTCATGAACATTGTCTAATCTGCCTTTTAAAATGCAAACCAGAAAATTTGTAACGCAGCTTAAAAACTTTGACTAGATGCTGCCACTGAGAGTGGAAAATATGACTTCGATCCAGAGAGTGACTGCTGGGCACGCTAGAGTTTGACACCTGAAATCCTGGGCAGGTCGCACTCTGAATGACACTATAAACAGTGAAATTCTCCAGTGCTTTTATAGTGTCTTTACTCTGTTTCCAATTCAGTTTTAGAAAGGTAATACAAGTCCCTGCATACTCAGAACATTGGAATTAAACAGCTGCAATACTTGAAATGCTGCATGAATTTTCTAGGCTTGAAGTGGTGAAATCCTGACTTCTTTTATGGTTGGTTTACAAGGTATGAGGAAAACAAAAGACTCCACAGGCCTGAGATGAAAGTAACTTTAGTCACTCATCCCTATCACTGCAGTTGACGGTTTAAAAAAAAAAAAAAAAAAAAGACAAAAACCATGTTTTGGCCTGAGCATGGTGGAGTACACCTTTAAGGCCAGTACTTGAAGGCAGAGGCAGGTAATCTCTGAACTCGAGGCCAGCTTGGTCTACAGAGCAAGTTCCAGGACAGCCAGGTCTACTCAGAGAAACCCTGTCTTGAAAAAACAACAAGAAAAATCATGTTTCAATAAAACAGATCCCAGACACTCTATAAACTACAAGATTTATATCAAGTAGATTTCAGGACTTTCTCACTCAACAATCTCTCTATTACCAAGCAAAACTAAGAGCCTAATGAAAACCGTTCAATGCCAGGAATCCTAGACATTACCAACAGGGTCAAAAGGGCACCCCAGATTTGGATCCCCATTTCCTGCAGTCCTAAAAGTGGGGTATACTAAGAACACACTTTTCATTTATGTGGGCCTGGTGGGTCTCTCACATCCCTTCTTTTCTGTTAAAGCTTTATCTTTTGAGAACTTCGTATACTGGTACCACTTCCCACCTTCCTTCACTGTTTCTACAAGAACTTAGAATCTCTGTACACCAGAATGGAGGACTCTGAACCTCACAGCTTTAGTTCCAAATCCACAAGGAAGAACCAGTGGATGATATTAACAGGGAGTGGACAGCTGTGGGCAAGTAACAGTCCTGGCCTAGAGATACTTATTCCTGACTTCGTTATTTTGGGGGAAGAAAACCATTAAGGCTAGAAAACACAGAGAAGGGGTAGAGAAGACTGCAATGAAAGTGAAAAATAGAAGTATCAGTTTTATGAAACAATGAAACAAAACAAAAACACAAACCAAAGTTACCTTTGGAGTCCCTAATTAGTGAAACCTCTGTATTGTATTGTATTGTCAGAACACACAGAAGGAAACAAATCTGAAGAAGCAGCACTGCTTCCATTCCACCAACTTACAACTGAGACCCACTTTACCCTATTGGCCCCATTAGCACTGGTTCACATCAGTTATCTTAGCACTTAGGGGGAAAGCTGAGGCTAGAGGATTGATTATTAGCTCGAGTTCATGGACAGCCTGAGCCACAGAATGGGACCCTCACGACAAATTCCATATTCCCAGCTATGAACTAAATAAGTGTCATTGCTGAGAGGCATCGCTGTGTTCCTCTGGAAGGCCTTGCACATACGCACCACGCATGGCAGATGCAGCTGCAACAAAAGCAGTAGCAGCACACACTGTAGGAGTCCTCTACAACACTAAAATCCAACCTTCTTTGCAAGCATAGTTTTTTAAGCCTGAGCCTGCATCAACCTGAGGACCTGCTAACAAAAGCATCCTGGGTCTTGTCAATCGTCCCCTGTAGCACTTAACCTTAGACAACAGGGGTAAACATCTGAATTCTATACTTCATCTCATTTACTAGAATCCACCAGGACAATCAATGTGCTTGCCCTCTTGCACAACCAACCTAAAACATGCTGGACTAAGCCTCCCTCCTCCCTGCCCCCTTCTCTTGTCTGAGCTAAAATAACATCAACATCATATTCCAAATCAAAGTTCCAGCATCTTATTAACGAAAACAAAACAAAACAGCTCAGAAGTTAAAATGACCTAATTTGTTTGGCAGCTTATTGGGAGGCCAGAGGCTCAGAACACAAGCCACATTCCGCCAGCATCTTTAGCAGCAATACCATATTTGGCAATCAATACCCTGATCCACACTAGGTTTCTATCCATAGGGATTAGCCAAGTCCCAAACATTTTAAATGGTACAGGACAATGAGCTGGGGGAACGAGATCATGCAAGGGAAAGGGAAGGGAAAGAGAAGAGAAAGAACATGCCATGGGGGGAAATACCTTGTGCTTTTAATTAAAACCCAGTAAGATCCCTCTTTAGCTACAGTAACGTGCTATTAAATGCTGTCAGGGTGAGTCTACAGGCAAGTGAAGCAGGGACTCTTTGCTGTTCAGAATCAACTTCTGCTCCTCCAGATAATGATTTTCCAAAACACTGTGATGAAAAGAAACTTTCTCTTCAAAACACAAATGGCAGCCAGTTTACATCGATCAGAAAAAGGTACGATCTAGATACCAGTATTAAATGTGGGGATAAAAAAAAATTCTTATTTACAAGCCAAGCAATCCAGCTGCTACAGGGGCAGGCAACAATCCCCAGCAATCCAGATCGGGTATGACCTGGAGGCTAAACACGGCAGCCTGTGTGAGACGACACAAGGCTTCAGACACCAATGGACCCTTGGCAGTCTACTGCGTATCAGAGGACACATGGGCAGTTTCATGAAAGGCTGAGTGACCGGGAGTGTGGAGGAAAGTATGGTGGAAAAAGTGTTACCACACACAGGCCTCTATACACAGCTTTTACCACTACATAAGTTTTACAAGCAATTATTAACTTTAAGGACTGTTCTGTGTTTTCTGACCCTGTATCTAATCAGGAATCATACAAGGCATTTACCTGTTACATGTTTAGTCTCCTTGACATTTTAAGAGTACTGACCCTTTGTTTTGTAAACTGTTTCTCATTTTAGTGTGTGTGTGTGTGTGTGTGTGTGTGTGTGTGTGTGTGTGGCGGTGGGGGGGGGGGATTCCTAACTTACATTCAGCAATATTTCAGTAGGCACACGATGTCATTTTGGACCCTCCTCCATTAGTGACAGGAACTCTGATCATTCCCAACATTTCCTCTAGTGTAAGGTCACTAATATTTTATTTTTGAGTTTGTTTCTTTACAGACAATGTATCACTGCAACCTAAACTTAGAGAGGCTCTACCTCAGCCTTCACAGCACTGGGAATACAGCCATGGATAGGAGAGCCACCATGCCTGGCTAGTTCTTCCTAACTACTAAGTACATTAATAGAATGGTCCTTCCAGGCTTTAGAAACACCTACTTTCTCATCAAACCTACCATTAGTGTAAGACTTACTCTATGACGGACAGCCTCATTCTATCCAAACCTTGTCTCTTGGCTCTCCCATCCATGGATTCAACTGCTTGCAGACTGAGAACATCTGCCATCCAAAAGACAACAATGACAAGAATCGAGAATACTAGTTTTAAGAAGGTTTAGTAGAGCAGTGTGAGGTGTGCTAGCACCTACTGTGAACTTGACATAACCTAGAGGCAGGTGTGAAGAGAGGGAGCGAGGAACTAACTGCCCAGATCAGTCTGGCTTGTGGCCATGTCTGTGAGAGATTACCTCGATTCATGATTGATGTAGGAAGGCCCAGCCCACTGTGGACGGCAACTATATACAAGGAAGCTATCGAGGCTGGATATAGTGGCACATGCCTTTAATCCCAGCACTGGGGAGGCAGAGGCAGGCAATTTTGAGGCCTGGTCTACAGAGTAAGTTCCAGGACAACTAGGGCACTTACAGAGAAACCCTGTCTTGAAGAAACCAAAACCAACAACAACAACCCAAAACCCAAACCAAAGGAAGAGGTGAGGGGAAGGACTAGTTGAGGATGAGGGTTCAGTTCCAGCACCTATGAGGTAGCTCTCAACTGTAACTCCAGTCCCAGGGTATTTTAACAACTTGACCCTCTGCTGCCTCTGTGGGGATCTTGCTGTGTGTGCGCGCGCGCGCGCGTGTGTGTGTGTGTGCGCGCGCGCGCGCGCCCAAGCAAGCAGACACACATACACACACACACACACACACACACACACACACTCACAAAATAGTCATACACATAAAATTAATAAATCTGGCTACGTACGGTAGTGTGTGCCTTTTGTTTCAGTGCTTGGGAGGCAGAAGCAGGAGGGTATCTCTGACTTTGAGGCCAACCAAGTTCATGGATTGAGCTCCAGATGAGCAGTACTCTACAGTGAATCCCTATCTTTAAAATCAAAAAGAAAAATTAAAACAATAAAACAAAAGAACAAGAGCCCCTATTCTGAGCTAGGCACTGAGCAGGCCAGCAGAGTAGTGTCCCCCCCACACCTCCATCATTTCTGTTTGAGTTCCTGCTCTGAATTCCCAGTGTTGTCTTGGTCAGTGATTTATCATGGCAAGCAAAGCGAACAGAACATGTAGTGATGCACACCCTGAATCCCAGGTCCTGGAGGCCAAGGAAGGAAGACCTGAAATCAAGGCTACCCTGGGCCAAAGTGAGACACTGTTTCAGAAGTATACACTTGAAGGAAAACAAAAAAGCAGCTGTATGTGTGCTGCCACACTGAGTTCCTTTCGTGTCACTACTCCTGAACCATAAATACAGCTACTATTTATGCTGCATCAGAGTGAGCCCTGAGTTCAAGCTCCATCTCTGGGTGGAGAGACATAATATTCTACGCTGCCCAAAAGATTGCAAAGTTACTAAAGCATCCTAGTGTT